GCCCCCCACCTTCCCTCTCCCCCCCACCCCCATTTGTGACAGGTGTCCTCTTTTTTGGACCTGGAAAATGGTAACCCTATGTATGCTATGCAGAGCCCCATTAAAGTCTTTGAGGTTGCACATGGGCTCTAGAATATGGTGATGCCCAGTCAATTTCAGGATCAAGGCTATATGTTTGTTTTAATTACTTGCTCACCCTCATAAAATTGTAACTTTATTATCATAAAAATGATATTCTGGCTGTTCAGATAGTACCATATGGCTTCTATGGTTATTTTGAGATATATTTTTAAAGTGATGAGCCACTGATATTAACAGGAGTATGTGATTAAGGGTCCAATCTTTGCAGTGTATAAATTTAAGCAAGCTCAGCTTCTTATACATGCATTTAAAGTTATTTGGGTAAACAGTCCTACTGAATTCACTAGATATACAGTAAATAATTTAGGGTGCAGACAGAAGTGACAATTTTTACCTGATCTGGCCGCAGAAAGCAGTTTATAGCTGTGACCAAACACAAGTGCATAGCTGCAAACAGCTTAAAAAATGGTCAGCTGGGTGAAAATCTGACTACCCATCTGACCATTGCATAAGATATTAGATGAAGATGTCACAACTTGTGTCTGTGTAGCTCCCAGTCTGTCTGTTTTCAGAATAGGAGGGGGGAAAGGAAGTAGAGGGAGTTCAGTCTGAGGGGTTTTCAGCGCCCCCTCCCCCTGAGGGTTGGGCAGGTGTTTTGCAGCCCCCTACAATGTGGGGGGCTCCAATTCACCCATCCCACCCTTCAGCACCAGCTGGGGAGCCCCAAGAATGAGCTTCCTGCACTGCCTTTCCCCCTTTCCATTCTGAAAACAGGGAGGACTGGCAGAAAGCCCTGGCCCTTGTTATGGGAACCTGGCTGCAGGCACCCAAACAAAGCTAGATTTCCCTTCCCCCTTGAACCAACAGTGAACTTCTGTTTGGTCTGGGGTAACATAACTCAGCACACTTTGCAAAAATCATTCGGACTTACACCTGGGACCTGCACTTCTGTCTGCACCCTTTGACCTTGATCTAGTGATTCTCAAACAGGTTGCTGCAGCATCCCAGAGTGCCTTATGAGCCTTTCAAGGGTGCCACAGAGTGCTTAGCACTGTTAGATTTGCAACATGATTCACAAGATAAACCAAGAGATTTCAAATAGGAATCCATATTGTTAAAAAGATTCTGACCTGTTGAGATCTTTCTGAGTTCTTTGCAGCAGAATTGCTCTATTATTTCTCTTTATTCAAAAAAATTGAAAACTAAGAGCTGGCATATTCCAAGGGGTGCCCTGAGTCTGAAAAAAGTTGAGAACAACTGCCTTAGTTGCCTAATTTTATTCCTGTAAGTAGTCCCATTACAGTTAATGAGATTTATCCCCTATATAACGCACTCATGCACCAAAATGTCGCAAGATCAGGACATAAATTGTTCAATTGTGATAGATTAGGTCATGGCTGTAAATCCCAGCAGACTTTCTGAATAGTTTAAAGGGATGAAATGCAGAGGTTCCCAAACTTTTTCTTATTGTGTATCCCTTTCCAGATTTACCAGCTGCCTCAGTACCCCTACCAGCATATTTTAACCTCTTAAATGCCAATTGTTATTGTAATGAAAATTAAATCCACCATTACAGAATTTATCCTGCATACCCCCTAGAAATGTCTTGCATGCCTCCAGATGTACACATATCACAATCTGGGAACCCCTAATGTAGTGCCTTGCTGTAATGTAGGAGACTATTTAGTGGTAAAAAAATCCTGAAGAAAGCTCAACCATTATTAATCCTAACTGGAAATCTAGTAACAAACACTTACAGGAATTCTCTTCTGTCTTTAAAAAAGCTTAGGGTTGTCTTTTTAGTTTTTGAGACTTCCTTGGTAGACAGATACTTTATTAAAGTCAAAACTTTTAATGACAAAATGTTTGTGAACTTTGGATGACCTCATGCGCATGAGATACCCATGTGTCACAAGTCTGTAAGACCACATGGTGGGCTGTATCTTTCTTCTTAAACTTCTTACTCTTTTAAAATTAATTTCTCGTGGGTTTTCTATGTCCATACCTCTGAGAAATCATTAGTGAGAAGGCTGGTCACACAGCAGATGGTAAGCATCTGGTTTTCTCCCTCCCCCCTACTTTTAAACTACTAATAAGAATATCAGAGTTAGGCACTATATAAACTCAAGTTCAACACTCTTAGCTGATTCTTTTAACTGTTATATAGCATTAGGATATTCATATTGTTTACTGGAAGTTCTAGTGAATAATTCCATTATTGGAATCATTTAAGTCTGATCTGAGAAAATATTAAGGTCCTGGTTCAGCAGAGTACATGAGTAATCCATTGACTTCAGTGGGAATACTATGATTAGGTCAAGCATGTGACCAAGCATAGAATCTTCAGAAGCGCTCAGTACTCAAAATGACAGATGTCCTCACTAACAGCTGGGGTTATTCACATCTCTGAAAATTAAACTGTAGATGATCCAGCATAGGAAAAAAAAATCTCATATTGGCAGGGACAATTTCTGTGTGTTCCTTAATCTAATAATGGTTGTTTACTTTCATGTTTTTAGATTGTCCTGATGGCTATTGCAAAAATGGAGGAACCTGTATCATCAAAGAAGTTATTCCTTTATGCCAGTAAGGTTCACATTTATTCTTTTGTGGGAGAATTTATTTTGTTCCTTATGGATAGAAATGACAGTCAATGGCAATGCGTTTTTGAACAGTAAACACACTACGTGCTAGTGCTATTTTCATGTACAGTAGCTGAGTGAACAAGAGAACAACATATACATAAGACTCTTTTGAGAGGAATATTAGCCATCAACTAGAATTTTCTGTGACTTTCATCTGTCTTGCATTAGAGGTGGGATAGCCTGTTTTTCCAAAACCTGATGTTTCCTTTCTCATATTGCAGCATTGTCTCATCAGCATTTAAAAAAACATGATGCTATGAAAAATGATATCTTAATTTGCAGTAGACACATTGTGCTTCTCAAGCAAGATTTACAACAGACCACTGTTTCCAGCTCTGCATGAAATCCCTGGTATAATGTTTCTTTTAATACATAGTGCAGCAGCTGCTTTTACACTTATGGCAAGCAAAGTGTTAAGTGTAATTTTGCAGTGTTGCTGTTTTACAATGCAGTGTTGCAATATTGCCTGGTAAAGCACAAATAAGGAATATATTATAATCTGGCATTTTAAAAAGTCGTAAGAAAAAGCATCTGAATTCCTGAGGTGCACCTCTGTGAGCATGAAACCCTGTTTTTCCCCCACTTAAAGAGATACGCCACGTCTCTGTAAGCAGGAAAAGCTGGGCAGACATTCCCAGGCTTGAGGGACCTCATGCTGCATGGGAATGCTCAGGGCATGCAGGGCTGAGACTCTCAAGTCCTGGGAGTGCCTGACCCAGGTAGCTAGAGACTGCTCTGGGATGCCCATGCTCTCCTGCCATAAAGCTAATAGGTATCCTCTTTGAAGATGAAACACACATTATTACTTGTCTTTGTGGTGCAATAAAAGGTATGGACATCTGTTTGCTTTCACTTTGTGCTGTAATAAAAATTGTGGATGCACGAAGTCGACGTCTGTTTTTAGCCAAAGATGCAAACAGTATTTGGAAGTTTTATACCAAATAAGAGCAAAAAACTTATAGAAAAGGGATCGGACCAAACAGAAAAAAACGACAATTTAAAAAAAAAACTTCAGGAAAGTTTAGAAGGGATGGGAAAAAGGATTCAACTTCCAAAGACGCTATGTTTTAGAGGTCACATATTTTAGGGGTGAAGTGAGAATTGCCAAAAAATCAAACTAAGTTAGATTTTAAAAAGTAAACTAAAACAAATGGCAAAAAACTCTTCAGCTATACTATGTGACAAGAAAAGAAGTAGAACTTCTATGCTGTGAGGAAAGAGTAGAAATCAAAGGTAAATTGAATATGACCCAATATCTAAATGTATGTTTTATCTGTTTTCAGCAAGGACAATAATGTTGATCATGGGGGGAATAGAATAATGGCTAATGGGATTGAGAATTTGAAATGAAAAGCATCACAAACAAAGTAGAAGCAAAACTGAAAATTCTGAATGCACTTAAGTCATAGGGGAGGAGGGGAATATTTTTTTCCATTCCAGAATACCAAAAAACAAACAAACTGGTAAATCAAATTGTCAGTTCAGTAGCGTGGGATTTTAATAATCAAGCAAATTGAGCATGGTACCATATGAGTAGATTATAATACAAGTAATAACTATGTTTAATATGGAAGGAGGGAATGCTCTCCAGGTACCTACAAATCTGTTAGTTTGACATCAATAGCATGCAAACCTTTAGAACAGTTTTTGAAGAAAAGATAAAGATGTGGAGGTAAATAGAAAGTTTCATAAAATGTAACACGAATATACCAGAAATAAATTGTGTCAGACTAGTTAATATAATTCTTTGATCAGATAATTGATTTTCCAGAAAAGGGAAATTTTGTAACTGTCATCTATCTCATCTTCATTAAAACATTTGATACAATGGAAAATTATTGGTTGAACTGAGAGAGCTTGGGAATCAGTTCAAGAACTAAAGGTGGATAAGAAACTGACTACAGGAAATATAACAATAGTTTGTGTTGACGGGGGAACTATTAGATTGGGATTTCAGAGGTTACTAGTGGAAGTTCTCAAGAACTGGTCTGGCAACCAACCTTGCTGACTTCCATTATCTAGGCACAAAAAGTAGGAAATGGTAAAAGAAGAGGAACACCTGGGAGCTTTGGAAAACCACAGGTGTCCCCAACCATGAGCCCCCAATGTGATGTGGCCTTGGAAAAGGCAAATATGATGGTGGAACACATTACACAATGTACCATATTTACTCAAATCTAAGATGACCCTGAACTTGAGACAGTCCCCAATAATTAGATTTTTTATGTGGACAAAATGATAAATTTGTTATAATTTTCCAAGTACAGAATCTAATAATAGGGCAGTCACCTTTAATTCCCTCCCCCCACCCCCATTACTGAAGAGGAGCAAGCGGTAGGAGGCAGCTGGTTTGGGCAGGTGAAGCAACTTGCCCCCTGCTTGTACCTGCCCCTCTACTCCCCCCTCCTGCAGACTTGGGACCCCCTTCCTCCTCTGTCTCTGCTCTCCCTCCTGCTCCACACCCCCAGTGTCTTCTCCCTGCTTCCCCCTCCTTTCCCAAGACTCTTTTCCCTGATCCTGCCTCCTCTTCAGACTCTGTCCCCACCTACTCTTCCTCCCCCAGCCTCTGCTTCCACCCCTCACCCAGCCCCTGATACTCCTTCCTCCACCCTTACCCTTGCTCTGTGCTGGTAGGCCCTGTTCCCTGTTCTAGCCTGGGCATGGGAGCCCAAGGGCACTGAGCCCCAGCCCAGTCCCATAAAAGCTATGTGGGTTTCATGCCACTGCTGTGAGACTGGGCTGGGGCCATACTCAGTGCCTCAGGCTGCTGTGTGGATGTATCCTGCTTGTGTAGACCAAGGGTAAGTGGGGGGAGAGGGAAGGAAGAGGAGGAGGAGGCGGGGAAGCAGAGATGAGGATGCAGAAGCAGTTGCAGGGGAGGGGGGCAGGCAGCAGCTGTGATTACAGCCCTGGCCCCTAGGTACAGGCTAGGGTCCGAGCCACAGCAGCTGCTCCCCCTAACCCCCACCCCACCATCATACTCAGTTCTAAGATGAGGAGCTTTTTTACCTATGTTAAATGGAGAACAAACCGACATCTTAAAACTGAGTAAATATGGTATTTCCAGTGGAGATAGGAAGCATTAATGCCCTTTTACTTAGATGATCTGGGAAATGGAGAACCTAAGTTACATTAATGTCTTGGCTTTTTAATCTATCAAAACAAAGGTGGGTGGTAGGAGTGATACAGTTTGTTGTCTAAAAATATATTGTGGGAGATAAACACTGGAAAGGGGAAAAACTGTTTAAGCTAAAAGACAATATTTACCCAAGAATTAATGATATAAATAGACTACAAATAAATTTATGGTGGAAATTAGGTTTTTAATCATCTATGGAAAAAGGTTGTTCAATTGCCTTCTAATAGGAGTAGCAGGGACAAACCCTGATTTTGAGATTGAGCTTGCTAGGTATTTTTAAAAGACTATTTGACATGGTTCCTGTGATAGGAGAGAGCTAGACTGTTACACAAGAGATACCATCTAGTCTCTACATTCAGTGTTTAATTTATGTCTTTCTTCTCTCTCTTTGTAGTAATCGGTTTAAGTGTAATTCTAATTATTTCTTGTCACATGATAATTGATTAATCACCGCTGCGTGTAATATGACAGGATGTCTAATTTAAATTAAGAAAATACCCTTAGCTCTCCTTGGTGATCATTTATTAGTATTTGTTTTGCCAGTTCTGGTGTCTCCTCATGTCTTTTGTTACTAGTAAAGGTAATATGCATGAAAAATTGCTGAAATTTACAAAGAATTTACAGTGACCCCTCTGTCTCAAATTATAATGATATTAAATACTGCATTAACATTGAATAATGGGTGCCCTTGTATGACTAGTTGAAGAAGTGTAAGGGTGCTATTACAGGTTACCTTTAAAACATTTGAAATCTGTAGAATTTTATGCCATCATAAAGTTAGAACAGTTTCAGAGCAGTCACAGGTTAATACCTAATTATGTCTCAGACCTGCACAATTCTGACTTGCCATTAAAGGGCCTGGCTAGCAGGGAGTAGGAGAGCATGGAGGAGGATGGCATGTCACTCAGTGGTGGAAGAACCACAATGTGGCTTCCTCGACTCCCCAGCTAGTAGAAGCCAGCCAGAGCTGAGGGTGGAAGGGGAATAGTCTTGGAAAAAAAAACTCTTTGAAGTGAAGTAAAGATCAGGGCAGAAATAAAGAGAAAGGAGTGACAAAGAAGTTTTTTGTTTGTTTTTGTTTTTTGGGGGGTGGGATGGTTAAAGGACCAAAATCTTGCATGCATTTCACTGAATTGGGATTGGGTTAGTGGATTGGTTGGGTTACTATTCACACTAGGGCAAAGCTGAGACCCAGTAGGCTGACTGCTTGCATGCCAGAATATGGGGAGAGCTGAGACGCAGCTGAAAATGTTTTTCATAGATTCATAGATTTAGGGTCGGAAGGGACCTAGTAGATCTTCTAGCCCGATCCCCCGCCAGGGCGGGAGAACAACAAAACCCCAAAACAAGAAACGGGACTCAAATGAGTCCAGCCAGGTAGGCATCCAGCCTCTTCTTAAAGATGTTTTCTGTTCTCTGACTCATTATTTTCACAGAGGTCGGTAGTAGGATTGACACCTAGATTGACACCCTTTAACAGGTGAATGCTTCTGTTTTAAGTATCTTCATAACAGTTTAGAGGTAACCTGTAACACCACTGTGGGCACTTCTACACAAGATGTTTACTGCAGTTAACTTATTAGTTGCACAGTAAATGTCTCAGCATCTACATGCGTACCCCTTATTAGGTTGGAGTAAACTCATTTATTCCAAGTAATATGCTGCTGGGGAGTAAAACACTGCAGCCATGCATGTGTAGACACTGGAGGGGCTGGCTGGGGCATGAGGGTGCTTCAGTGTGGGAGCTGTCTGGTGGCTAGTCCTGCACTGAAGCTGCCTTGTGCCCCAGCCAGCCCCTCCAC